CTCCCTGGGCAACCTGGGACAGTGTCTCACCACCAGAACAGGGAAAACTTCTGCTTTATATCTAATCTAAATTTCCCTCCTTCAATTTGTGCCCATTGCCCCTTGTCCTGTCCCTGCAGCTCCTAACACAGATCCCTCTGCAGCTTCCCTGGAGCCCCTTCGGCTCCTGGAAGGTGCTCTGAGGTCTCCACACAACCTTCTCTTCTCCAGCCTGAACAGCCCCAACTCCCTCAGCCTGTCCTCACAGGGGAGATGCTCCAGTGCTCTTAGCAACTTTGTGGCCCCCTCTGGACTTCCTCCAACAGTTCCATGTCCTTCATATTCATCCACATCCGTTTCTGATGTTTTCTGGGAGGGAGGCAGCAAACCTTGTGAGCCACAGCTGCCCTGACTGTGATCCCAAGCTCAGCACAGCTCCCAGGGAGCAGGTCCTCTGTGCAGTGTAGCTCCTGTGCAGGGGAGGCCTTTGCCTTTCTGAACATGCAAACCTTTATTTCATAAGCAAACACGTCTGTAAATCCTCCTGCTCACGTGTCACGGGGACAATGGAGCAGCTGGAAGGGTCTGTGCTCCTGTTTGTCCCCACTACAATGCTGAGCAGCTCTGGTAGGGGTGGGAGGGAAGTCTGGGGCTCCTGCTGGAACACATGCTGCTGTGTTTGCTCTGTGGGTAATACCTGATTGATTACATCAAACTTTGTCCTCCAGGGCAGGAGTAGAGAGGCCAAATCCTTTTAATTTCGCTCTGAGGTGACTAACACAAGTGATTTCTCTGAGGTTTTCTGTGCCCTTGGTTTCCTTATCACCCAAAGGGGAAGAATGGACTACCCCTCAGACAGCACTTGTTGAAATCTAATGACTGGAAGTGCTTTACTGTGATTGTATCATGATTTGTGCAGTACCTGGAATCCTGTGCTGTGCACAGACATCCTGAGCAGCACAGCTGAATTTAATGAAGTGCCCTAATTAGAGCGTGCATTACTTGTTCTCTAAGTGTATTTTAGGTGTGAACTGTTTGTCACCTGAAGCTGTTCAGGGCATGAATGAAAGAGAACCAAGTTTGGCAATTGAACTATGCACTGCTTTGTGTTATTTGTTGTATGTGCCTCCAGGAGTGCTGAGGGTGTTCAGAGGATGCAAACTAGCCCACAGCAGCACAGGAGCCTGATGGTGCCAATGCCTGATTTTAAATCACTGTCTGTCTAAATAGGTGTATAAATAATGGGGTTTTTTTTGAAGAAAAAGCTTTTAGAACTGCTACTTGCTGGTTCTCCTACTGAGTCTGTAGGGTCAGACACTTCAGCCCCAGTTGTGTTGAACTGTGCCTGCTCTGTGGTGAGTCAAGGTCCGAGTTGTTGTGAGAAGCAAATAAATTCTGTCTGTCTGGTGTATTTGCATTGGAAGGTGATTTAAGGTGGAGTTTCTACTGCTCTGTGTACTACAATGTGTCCTGATTGCTGTTGAGGCCTCTATGAACCACTGCAGTCTGGAATAAATAATGCCTTTTATTCCAGGCTGTTGTTACCAAAGAATCTCTTTGATTCCATCAAAATTAGGAATGACACAGTAGATTTTTATCTGCTTAGTGTCAAGCTAAGAAATGTGTGTGTACACATGTCAAAAAGCTTTTTTTTTTCTCTGTATAATGCAGTATTTTGGGCAAATAAATCTGTGTGGTGGAGAGTCCTCAGAGCTCCAAGGTCTCAGAGCAGAATTTTTTTATTTACACCCAGAACTGCACATGGACACAACTACACTGCTAATGAGGCTCTTCATGCCATGCCTTGAGCTTTCCCTCAGCCAACATTACCTCACCTGCCTCACCCAGGGCCTGGAGTTGCTCCTCACCAGGTGCACTCCCGTTGCCTCCACGGCCTTGGTGAGAGCCCATGGGGGGACAGATGGTCAGGAGGAGATACCTCACACTAAATACACAACTCATGGAAGTGCCTTCAAATCCCAGCACCTGCACTGGGTAGGACCCATCAGTTCCCCCCTGGGGACGCAGGTCAGTCCCTGCTAATTTTGGTAGGGACTTTTATAAGCAATGAGACAGGTCTGAAAACGAGGGGGAAAGGGCTTCAACCTTTTTTTTTCAGAACAGTAGATGATTCATATTTTTAAAAATAAAACCAGAGCAGTTCAGATTCCACTTCTCTCATCAAGGCTCATTTCAAAGATCATCATTGAAGCAAATCCAATACACAGTGGCCAAGCCCAGGCAGAAATAAAGGTCCTCTAATGGAACCTTAAAATCCCATCTGTGGTTTTGATGCATCCTTTGGATGTGCCACCACACATACATCCACGGAGAGTGGCCAGGTCAGCACAAAGCAGTCCCAACTTGCTGCTAATGAGTCCTGGCTCCAGCCTGCAGAGCTCTGATCTCATGCAGGCACCCCCAGGAGATCAGTGTCTCCCTGAGTACAGGCAAGTGCTTGGCATTTATAACCCAAACCTTCCCTTCTCTGTCGTCTTTACGATGTGACTTTGAGATGCGGAAATAATCTAATGAACCTGAAGTTATGACTCAGACTTCTAATGAAGCCTGAAATGATAAAGCTTTGGGTGCAGTGCTGCTGCCAGTCTCACTGTGAGGTGGCAGAGGAGATGTCACCAGCACCTTGCAAGTTACATGGACCCTGTTCGGTACTGCTCTTTACAACTGTAAGTGGCTGTAAGCCCCAAGCTGTTCCCAGGCCTCATGGTATTGTCTCATGGTATTATGCCCCTGGACTGGGCACTGGGGAGGTCCCAGCTCAGTGCTGTGCTCAGCTTTGGGCACTCATTGCCCAAAGGCCATTGAGGCACTGGAGCGAGTCCAGCCAAGGGCAACGAGGGCAGCAAAGGGCTGGAGCACATGGGCAAGGGCTGAGGGACTTGGGTTTGGTCAGCCTGGAGAAGAGGCTCAGGGGTAACCTCCTGGCTCTCTGCAACTCCCTGACAGGGCTGCAGAGAGGTGGGGGATGTGTGTCCTGCCAGGGCTGCAGGGAGAGGATAGAGGGAATGGCCTTGAGCTGAGCCAGGGCAGAGTCAGATTGGATGTGAGGAGAAATGTTTTCCCTGTTGTGGTGTTGAGGCTCTGGGATATTGCCCAGGGAGGTGTTGGGGTCACCATCCCTGGAGGTGTTTCAGAGCCTGTCTGGATCTCAAGGATCTGGTTTAGGGTTTAGGGGTTCCAGCAGTGGCAGATTAATGGCTGGACTTAATGATCTCAGAGATCTCCTCCAACCTTGATGATTCTGTGATTCTAAGCACCAAAGAGTGACCTGACTAAACATCTCTGAAGGACTGGCACTCTGAACACAGAAGATGGATTGCCTGTGATTTTGGTGTTGGCAGGTGCAGGATGGGGTGCAGGGTCCTGGCCACTCTCGCTCCCCTGGGTGCTCGGGGGTGATCCTGCCCTGCTCACCTGCCCCCTCATCACCATCCCTCCCTGCTGGCCAGAAACATTCTCAACTCCCTGCAGGGCCAGGGCTGGGGCCAGGCCAAGGGCAGCTGAGGGAATTGCTCCTGAGACACGTGCTGAGCAGATCCCTGGCCAGAGAGGAGCTCTGCTGGATCAGGGCGATTTCCAAGCAGGCTCCCCCTGGCTCTGCACACAGCTGAAGGCACACCCAGTTGTGCAATCTGCTGCACTGCACACCTGGTGCTGTCTGCAAGTCTAGTCACAGCCGTTAGCAGGTGCGACGTGGCCTTTGTGGCCATAAAAGTCTGACTGTGCTGCTCCTGCCACGCTCCCGCGGCGCTCGGCGGATCTGATGGTTTGGAGCTGTTGGGAGCCACAAACAGGGGCATGTGGTGGCTTCAGGGGGATCAGAGTGAGGCCTGAGCACACAGGAGAGATGTGCAGCTTCTGCCTTGACGTCTGTGCTGAGGAGAAGGTAACAGACAGGGCAGTGCTGCTGCCTGAGCAGGGACATGGTGCAAGGGCAACCTGAGCAGGTGGGAGGTGTCCCTGCCTGTGTCAGGGGGTTGGAAGGAGATGATATGTAAGGTTCCTTCCAACACAAACTATTCTGTGATCATAGAATTGTAGAATTTTAGGGCTGGAATGGAGCTTAGAGATCATCCAGCCCCAACCCCCTGCCCTGCCCAGGGTCACCTCCCACCAGAGCAGGTTGCTCAAGGCTCAGCCAACCTGGCTGTGAACACTGCCAGGGTTGGGGCAGCCACAGCCTCCCTGGGCAACCTGGGACAGTGTCTCACCACCCTCACAGGGAAAACTTCTGCCTAACATCTAACCTAGATTCCCTCCTTCACTTTGAACCCATTGCCCCTTGTCCTATCACTGCAGTTCCTAACACAGAGTCCCTCTGCAGCTCCTTGTAGGCCCTTCAGATATTGAAAAGTTGCTCTGAGATCGCCACACAACCTTCTCTTCTCCAGGCTGAATCAGGGATGCTGCATCTACCACAGCACAGCTTTGGGGTGGAGCTCTGAAACCCCCAGCCCCAATCCAGACTGGAATCATTGCCCCTTGTCCTATCACTGCAGTTCCTAACACAGAGTCCCTCTGC